CAACCCTGGAGACTCCGACGAAAGCCTAGCAGGGGAGGATCCAAGACGTGAATAAAAGCTACAGGAAATACACGGAGGGACCGACCTAGCAGGGGAGGATCCAAAGAGAAGAAACTCTAAGGGTCTGCCTGCTAGGGCGCCAACTATATACTGGTCGTCCGTAACTGCCGACGTAGAGCGCAGAAAGCCTGAGCTGAGCGGCGTTGCAGGCTCTGTCCCAAGGTGATCGTTGGGAGGGTCTTGACGGATCAGTGATTGTGCGGGCGAAGGAGGCCGAGGACGAGGGTTGGGGTAGGTCGGAGCGTCCGAGGGGCGCCGGTCGGATGTGCCTCGGATGCGCTCGGATGGTCTGAAGGAGGCCGAAGTGGGGGTTCCCCTGACAGGCATATGACTATGGTCAGGCCCAGTTTCAATGGGCCTTGAAGTTAACTTGAGCTTAGGTTGGACTTGCACCAACTCCAAGCCTCAAGACTGGTCTGGTGTGATGCGTGACATCAGGTATCAAAAGCTTTGGCTTGGGCTAGCACCGTCACGTGGGGGAGTTCAATGTTGAGTCGTGGTGATTATTTACTTGCTTGCTTGCTTGGTGTGTGGGGGAGCTGGGGGAGGGAATACTGACCCATTTCGATCAATTCAGCGGGCCTGTGACCCGTGACCGTTTGGCGAAATGTCCAATTCGGCCACAGGCCGAATTTCGCGTGACCTATTACCCGATTGGGAAGTTCGGCGCGCCGCAGGCGCCGAAAATTTCGAAATCTTCCCGATTAGGACAGTTTGGGACCAAAAGATTTGGCTGTGACCCGTGACCCGCCGAAATATTTCGGCCAAAAAATCCGATGTGACCGTGACCCGCCTAATTGAATGAAATAGGTCAGTATCCTACACTGATCTGGAAGTCGCAGGTATTGGCCCTTGTTGCGTCACTGCCTCCGCGTCTTCCGTCCACACTTAAAGGGCTCAGTGTGATGGGAAGGTCATCCCGGCAGTCCGACGCGGACACAGTGATTGCGCCCGAACGCGAACTTCGCGGTGCCCGACCCCGACAGGCTGCTGGCGCAGTTGCGCTCACGCTGCCCGTCAATGCATCATATCATGATTGAGGTTCCGCTCCTGCAGCTGAGGTATTAGACCATGCCCATATGCACATCTCTTTGTAAAAATCCACGAGGCTCTTCAGTGCTGATCTCAGTGGATCACTGGGCATTGGAGTGAAGGAGACAGATGATGGTGTCCGACTAGGACACAGACAGGCTACGTGTGGAGCTAGCTCCGCCGCTGGTATCTGTCGCCGCACCGGGGACCATTGATGCATCCACACATTAATTTGGCAATTAAGCAGCTCAAGGCACATAAGACGCTCTCCCGGGGCTAACGAACAGCGTCCCTGGCAGGAGACGAGATGCAGGACCCGGGACCAGTCCGGTGCCCCACCGGCGTCAACAAAACGGGTACGCAGGTGGGTCCCCATCCGCGACGCACCTGCCCGGCGGGCTGAGGAGTGCGCCGCGCCCGCGCGGACGGCATGTCCGTGATCCCGCAGAACATGGGCCGCCGCGGGATAGATGCTTGAGGGTCGAATGCAGATGCAGTATGGTGGAACACACTGTCGGTTGATCAGTGCTTTCAGAAGACCGATAAGGTGGAAGAGCACACTGAGCATTGGAGAAGTATACAGTGCGGCTTCTCCGAGGTCAATCTGCTGCGCGCATCATTTGGAGGCGCTAATGGACAGCGTTGTTGCCCACGGGCTGCATCGCATGAATACCGGTGCAGAGTGGAGGAATAAAGATAGCGCACTGCTTGCGCAAACAGCCCATGTCCGTGTTGTTGCTCCACCGCTCCAGAACATCTTGATGAAGACGCCAATGACGTCAGGGCAGCTCGAACACGCCTCCGAGTTAGGATGCTCTTCAGCGGCGCGTCGTCGAGTTGATGTCGATGCGCCGGTCGGCAGCTAAGATCGTCGTGGGGGAAGCTGACGCGGCCGCAGCGATAGCATCCACGGCCCGGCCACAGTTGGGCATAAGCCAACCGCAAGCGCGGCGGCCACCAATCCCGCGGAATCGGTAGCCTGGCAGGCGCCTAGTGTGATATTGTGTCAGGTGTACGGATTATCCTCCATAGCGCTGAGGCGGATGGCAAGCAGCACCACGGGGCACGATCGTCTCCGGATGGCCAGCGCGCAGACCCGTTAGCGTGAGCTTTCAAGTTGCGTCGACGTTTGATTTGCCAAGTCCGGACCCACAGAGTCGGAATCGATGCGCCGGTGTAAGTCCTGTGTTAGCAATTTCGTCTCAGCGGAGAGTCTCAATACAGATTTAGACTCTCGAATAAGTTGGCATCCAGAGAAGGAGTTGTTGGGGCATGTGTATCGGCTAGTGTTGCGTAGATCTGCCCCTGAGGCTGGCATTTTGCATCGAGACGAGTTAATTCGTGTCCTCGACAGTGCTGTTGCACACACGCTGCATAGTTATTAGTATAAATACCGGACTGGAGTGGAGGAACAAATCCGAAGATGACCACTCTCCAGCGGCAGGTCCATATGCTGGAAGATGATGATCATTGTCGATGTGCGCAAGATGGTGCTGACCGAGTTGGGCGTCAGGAAGCTGAGGTGGCTGCGGCGCGGGCATCAAAGGACTGCCAGTGGTTGGGCACAAGCCAAGGTCCAAGCTTGCAGCGGAGGAGAATCCAGTATGGCCCAGACCACATTTTGCATACCGCGGGCAGCGGTCCAAGTTCGGTTGGGAAATCCGAGGCAGTTGCTAGTATTCCTGCTCGGGTAGAGCATACGGTCGATTTGATGACTGGTGTCTGAAGACAGAGAATAAGCTAGGATAAGAGTGGGCTTGTAAAAAAGGTGCGCTCGGTCAGCGATGTCGGGAAAGCGAGGACAGCGTAACACGCCAGGCAAAGATCTCCAGCAGCACAGTGTCGCCACAGATTTAGACTCCCGGAGAAGTTGGCGACTGGAGAAGGGGTGGTTGGCGCATGCGTATCGGTTAGTGTTGCCGTAGCATTGCGCCAGCTGGCGCCGCAGGTGTGCTGCAAAGGCTGGCATTGTGCGTCGAGATGGGCGTCAGGAACAAAAAAGGGAGGCGATTGCGTAAGATGTGACTGGGCGATCACATCATGATTAGCTCCGCGCCGGGCACGCCGATTGGCTGGGCACACGTGTGCGCTGTCAATATGTGGCAGCGCTTTCCTCTCTTCACTTCCAGCTTGGCTGCAACTGGTCGCTCCATGTTTCCGAACGAACTCTTTCACGAAGTGCTCAAAGATGTGTCGCCCGCCCAGCTCAAGCTCGTCGCTCTTGCTTCTCGTCGCCTGCGCCTGCTTGCCCGCCCATTCCTCTACAGCAAGCTTGCCGTGAAGCCATATGCGCCCCGGAGGAGCGCATTGCCTGGTCAGGCGGCGCCATCCTTAAGCTCCCACCTGCTCATGAGGTGGTGGATGCCATCGCAAAACTGGCCTTCTTCATGTCCCCCGCCATTGCGCCGTATGTGCACTGCATCAATGTCGCCTGGGAGGAAGTGAATGGCTTCGCCGAAAGAAGCAGAGACGCAGTATTCAACGATGTAGCCGGCACGCACACCATCTGTGACGTGCTATTCGCCGGCATCTCCAAGTTCGTTAACCTACGCAAATTCTATGGCCACAGTCTCATATTCACGCTCTCTGCGCTCGCCAACCTTGCGCAGGTCCGCGGCCCGATTGAGCTGGATCTCTTTGCCTGTTCTGTGGACTCCGAGATCCAGGCATTCCTTCGTGCCGCCTATTAACGCACTCGACATCCGTATCCGTGTCTCAAGCGTCAAAGTCGCCACCTCGGCAGCATACAGTCCCACGTGCACGCTCTCAGAATGGTTCGCGCTCTTTGAGCCCATCACACTCTCCGCGGTCAGCCTGGACATGGATCAACCAGTGGAAGGGCTTACGAGTGTGCTACCTCACGTAAAACACCTGGCGCTTAGACTCTCCGAGGGCTGCGGCGCGTTGCTAACCTACTCTGGCTGTGTGCAGCTGCAAGCGGCCTTTCCCGCAGTTGAGCAGCTTAGTGTCGAGGCGGCACTCTATGTGGACGATCCGGGGCTGCCGTGGGATGGCCCTAACGGCGGCGAACCGTTGTTTCCCGCTGTATTCAAGCTCACGACCACGTATGAAGCCAGTGAAGCTTTACCCCTCCTCCTGCGGATTGCACCGTCTATCCACACATTGCATGTCAAAACGCTGATGCCACAAGCTTAGTGTCCGTGCTGCAGCGCAATAGGCAGTGCATCCCCGTGACAATCACGACACTCACCCTCGAATGCGACTCGGAGGACGGCGATCTTGCCGTGTGGGGCGCGGTCTTTGCACATTTTCCGCACCTGCATACCCTCGACTTCACCGTAACGATGCTGTCCGGACGCGCGTGCCCGCCGTAAGTGAATGTCTCCTAAGTGTCGTCATCCGAACTGTGCCCATACCCTACTCAATACTATCACAGCCTGCCGCCTTCCTCACGGGCTTCCCGGCTAGTCTTCCCTTGGGTTTGCAGCGGCTCGAAGTCAAGTACTCGGACACGAGTATGTTCTCTCGCCGTGGGCCCCGGAGCGGTTCCTCGTCCGACACCTTGGTGATGCAGACAGGACAAGTGCTACGGAGGCAGCTGCTTCGCCGTTGCCCCAATCTGAGCTGGATTTCGATACTTGCACCACCCTTCCATCTCAACCTCCAGTGGACAAAGGACGCATAATCATGATATAGACACATACGAATTGAGCACACCAGATCACAAAAGATATTCAATATTGATAAACGAGAGAATGAGTGGCATTTGTATTCTTCCTTACTTGAGCTGATCTTGTGGTCAAAGGAAAGATAGGGGTGATATTGCACCGAGTCAAAGGATGCCCTGATCCAGCGGCGGGCGACCATACGTCTCCTACACCAACATCATTAGTGCATTATCCACCTCATCATTGGATAGAGAAATACGCACCGGCTCCTGCGGGTGGTTACCCAACACAGCCTCGATCCGCCAACACCGCAGCATCCAGCTTGGGCAGGACCTCAAGCGCGCCGAGGTTCGCCTCGAGCTGTGCGACGGAGGACACGCCGAGGATGACTGTGGAAGTGTGGCGGTGCGCCGCAACCCACGCGAGCGCCAGCGCGGTTCCGCCCAGAGTTCAGCAAGTCGGGGAGAAACGACGCACACCCGCAGCAATTTGGCTGAGGAGACGCACTTTCCAAAGCAGCTCTTCGCCCTGGGGACCCTCCGTCGCCCCGCGGAACATGGGCACGGTGGCGGCGCGCGTGCCGTCTGGGATGCCGTCGTTGTACTAGCAAAGTTAGTTTACGTGTTAGAGGGTTGAGGAGGATATACCTTCCCCGTCAGCAGTCCGCCCTGCAGTGCAGAGAATGCGGTTGTGCCCAGGCCGTACTTGGCGTACAAAGGGCTACAAAGTCAGCATTAGCTACTGCTGAAGTTTGATGGTTGCCCACGCACGCGTATTCCTTCTCCGGACGTTCGCGGTGGAACATGCTATCGTCTCCTCAGCATTATTTCGAAGGAAGAAAGAAGATGGCGCAGACTTGTGCTTGCACTGCTCTGCGATCGGCGCGATGAGGTTTAAGCGCGTGGCAACATCTGTGCTGCGGGTAAGCGACGGGAGGTCTCGGGAGAGGTACACGCTCACGATGCGCCTCCTCGATCTGGTGCGCGCTCCACTCGGAGGTGCCCCAGTAGAAAGCCTGCGTGTGAATCTTAGTGGATATGGATAGACAAAATCCACCACTCACCCAGCCCTGGTCGATAACATAGTTAAATGCGCGGACGATCTCCTCCATCGGAACTAGCCTGCGTCAGTTGACCTCCTTATGGCGAATGTAAGAAACCCACCGGTGGTATCGCAACGACGATGCCGAAGATGACGTCGACATAGTCCATCTGGAGCCGTCGCAAACAAGCCTTCGTGCCCTCGATAACGCTGTTGCCAGTCAGAGTTGTAGGAAGGAAAGGAAGGTGGCGCACTGTTTGTGCGACAGCCCCGTGTCGTTCGGGCCCGTGCCTGGCTCGTGGCTCCAGAATATCTTGGTTGAGATGACGAGGTCCGTGCGGGCGCCAGCCAAGTTCTTTGATAGCGTGTCCCCTGATTTTGCTGGAGTCAGAGAAAGCGTGGTCAGAAGGGAATCTCAGGGAACGCACATTTCGCGCTCAGCCGCACCTTTCTGGTAGTCCTCCGCGGTGTCGAACATGTTGATCCCATTCTCGAAGGCGGCCTGCATGATGTCCTTGACGCTCTCGCCGACGACGGAGCCTCCGAGGGTGAGCCCTGTCGAGAGCTCAGCTAAAGCCAATGGGGAATGCGCAAAGACGGACAGCCGCCGAGAGAGAAGAGCGGCACGCGCAGACCGCTGGGGCCCAACCGGCGGAAGGGCATCGCTTTCGTCGAAGACGGGGACTGGAGAGGACATGGGGGCAGGTGGAGAGGAGTGGAATGGGAATCGATTGCAGCGTCGGCGAACGGGGCCGGTGGTGTCTGCGGAAGGCGGAGCGCCGTCGGTGGGGGCAGTAGACCTATTAGTGAAATGAGCGATTGGCTCTGCGTGATGAGCAAGACATGGGTAACGCACCGTGAAAAACTTGAACACGCGTAGCGACTATCAGGACCCAGTTACGCCGGACGAAATAGCACACGCACCTTGTCCCCCGCCTTGGTTGTGCCCTGCTGCTTGCCATCCGGGCCGTCCGCGGCTGATTTCACGCCGCTTGTTTCCGCCCAGTAGAGGCCGCCACCCTGGGTGTCAGACTCGCCAGCGAAAAGTGAGGGATTACTGGGGAGTAGATCAGCGAAATAGAGACTGAATGCACAACACGCACCTCAAGCCACGCCAAATCGACCGTCGCAGCCCATCCCTGCTCCTACTCGCGCTGTGGCTCAAGCATAGCATTCGTGTGCCGCGCTCCGACCAGGGGCGGGACCGTCTCCCCGCGCACATGGAAGGAGAAGACAAGGCGTGGCTGCTTACGTGGCACTGGCGATCGGCATCAGGTCCGGGCTCGGCGGCCGTGACATCAATCTCTGGTTTCTTTCCTCCGCTCCACGACGACGATGCGCTTGCACGACGATACCTAGCGCACCCTGCGGGCCACTCCCGCGCACGAACGACAATCCGAGGCCCAATTTCTCTGGTGCATTTCTACTCCAGACATCGCCCTGCTCGTTCTCATAACTCGGGCCGGCAGTGCGTCCAGGACTATGGTCGAATGCCACTCCCCGTGCTCGTCAGCTTTCTTGCTCCACCCGCTTTGCGCCGCGCCGCCGCCGCCGTTGCTAGCCGTTGCTGCGCTGCATCTACAAGTTTGCCACCCCCCCACGGCTCTTCCTTCGCCTTAGAAATCCAGCCCTCGGGCCCGGTCCATATATCCCCTGGTGTGTGTGAAATAAAATTAGCTTATCTTAAGTTCTACTGGTCAAACCAAATATCCTCTTAAGTCTGGCTTGTGAACTTAAGTTCCCTCCTTATATTCTGATTTTCACTATATGTTGGCATGTATGTTGTATATAATGAATTTTCTCATATCAAAATAATAAATAAATAAAATAATAAATAAATAAAATAAAATAATAAATAAACAAATATATTCAAAAATCTTTATATGCACGGTGAATACCCATGTTATCCATCCATTTGAACACTGCCTCCCGCCAATGCCCAATTCGGGATATGAGATCATCAAAACTTGTTGCATGAATCCAATCATGATGTGCACCAGAGTCAGGGTGGCAAAAGATTACCCTAGCATTGTGTTGCAGCCTTTTGGACATGGCAGCCTGCATTCGGGCAAAAGTTACAGCCCCTGATGCCACACCATTCTGTGCCTCTGCACGGTTTGCAAGGCCCTCCCACACAGTAGCATCATGCCCAAAGCGCTCAATGACCCGCCAGAGCTCAGCATGCTTCCTTTCATACTGCTCTAGCCAGCGGTACATCTCAGCTTCAGCACGCAGGTACTGTACACGATCCGCTATTTTATTATTTAGTGACAAGATAAGTTAAGCATATTAACACACACCTTCTTGTTTATATTCAGCAACTTTAGAGTCATTGGAGATATGACCCTTTGTCCAACTATCCATCCAGATCCAACCATCACTTTTGGTTGCCTTTTTCATAGGTGACTTGTTCTTGTGTAACCTTTTTGGTGTTCTTCCCTGTGGTGGCCCAGGTGAATTTGTAGTGCCATTCTCTGCTGCTTCATCCTCATCACTGGTGTTGGGTAGGATGTCTTTGACACGTTTGGCAGGGCGAGGTGATTTCTGAGGACCTATAAATATTCAAAATAAATTTGAGTATGCTGAGAAATATTCCTACCAGATCGTTTGAGTGTCTTGGTCCCTGTGAGTAGCTGTGGCTCATCCTCAGAGTCACTAGCTCCATCTGAAAGCGGCTGAAGTAATGAAGAAATTGATTTTGAGGCAATCTTGGTTCCGCTTTGTAGATACCAAGCAGTACCATCAAAAAGACGTGAGTCTCCTTTTGCACGATGGAGATGTGTCTCCTTGCGCCGCGTATCACGTCGGCTGAGAGTCGGAAATGGTTGATCTGAGTCCTTCTTGATATGGTCCAGGTCCACCAACGCATCTCGAGCTCGGTTGTACGTGTTGATCTCGTGATCCTTGACAAGATGGCCTTTTTGCTCATTTCGTTGAGAGCGTGTAATGCCACCCTGTCCACGATAATCAAGCTCACGAGCCTTTTTCGTTGCTGACAATGCCAAAGAAGCAGCCTGTACTGCCAGAATGCCATTCTCCGCTTGACTGCACCTGAGCTTGATCTCAGCTGCCCGCAATGCCACATCATCCGGATCAGTGCTGGAAACCAAGCGCTGGTGATGCTTGATTCGCCAGGACGGGAGTTGAATCTCGGTCAACTCTGGTTCATCAATGTCAAGAGCGCTGAGTTGTAGACGTGGGTAAATTGCACGTTGGTGTTCCCGAAATTGTCTCAGTGCCGTATTCAGAGTATCACGAACCCGCGTTATTGTGTCCCAGGTTTCTTGAAGTGGATGCTCACGATGACTTTTAAGCAACGCAATAATAAGCATTCTGTCTCTGTTCTCAGTAACAGCAACAGGACAAGAACCTAGTGATACGTACTGCTGTCGCTCAATATCAATCCCATCATGAATCCATCGAGCTGCCGAGGGAGGCTCGTCTTTCGCCAGTTGATCTTGAGGCTGATTTCAATCGTTCATCAGCCACCATACTTGACAAAACGTCCTCGATAGTTATTACTACAACCAGTCAGTGCCCAAATCAAAAGTAAGTCGGTTATTATGTACCTGCAGTAGACCTATGCTGATAAGCACTTTCCCATTCTCCAGTTCGTGATTTTTGTGGCAATCGAGAAAGCCGGGACCATTCACCAACCTCGTCTGCATGCTGACGAGCGAGATCCTCAGTTACTGCCATATGCAGTTCAAACAGCTGGAGCGCATCTAATCGTTCATCGGCAAGCAGTTTTGCTTGACGAAAAACTTTGGAGGTATTCCATGAATCGATAACCAAGTTGATGGTGTCGTGGCGTGCGGCTCCCGTCATCTGACGGGTAGAGGATCCCAGGGGGTTTAAAAAGGCCCAGATCATCTCCCCCGTCTCTCCATGGAAATGAGCACGACAAGCAAAATAGACAGCCTGCCAAATGACGCGACAGTCGTGGCCATGCCCGTTGATGTGATCAGCGGGAATCTGCCCCTCAACGGAGCTGAGTATGTCGTGGAGCGTATAATGTCCTGCGGGACGCGGTACTAGGTGTGCCGCATACGGTTGATTTCGTGTGCTTCACAGAACTGAGGAGACTGTGACAGACGCCGCATATGACAACACGCTTCCGTGTGAGAAGTGGACACTTGAAGGCACTGATAACTTGGAGGATTCCGATTCAATAGTTTACAGAATATTTTCCACTAGAAGGACTACCAATCATTGTCATATTTCCCTGGGGCGCCCGCTGAGCGACGCTCCGCAAGCATTTTATCCACGCGCTCCCAGAACCCCGCACTAGTCGCGCCGCCTGTCCACTCATCCTGCCACTCCGGCCAGCCGATCCCCTGGTGGACCAGGAGGCACGCAGGGTGCTCTATGAGGCGTTCGTCGAGCGGCACCTTCCCAACGCGCTGGTAGGACAGGGACGAATACATTCAACCGCCGATGTGGATCCGACAGCACGTCCAGCAACATGTCGAGCGGTGGGGCGTCCCTCTGCAGAATGTCGTGGTACCACTCCTTTGTATCGATGGCGAGATGCGTCAGCGCACGAAGCGCCAGAAGCGGCGGCCAGACTTGCGGCCAGCGGTGGTAGAACGACAGGTGGAGGTGTGTGATGCGCGTGAGCGGAGAGGTCGGGAGATGCGGTCATCATGTAGAGCGAGAGCAGGTTCGTGGTGAGCCGCCGGAGGTTGGGCAGAGTTCCGAGCACGTCTGCCGTGCTAAATATGAGACCACGCGGTAGAATGACAACATCTTGGAGGTGGGGGCAGGAGTTCAGAATACTGTTAGTCTCAGACGAGGAGAGCTCTCCGTCGAGACGCAGACCGGTCGACTGCGCGATGAATGCCTGCCGGCGGGGGTCTTCGATGAGCGCCCTGAAGGCAGACGGCGACAAGACTGGGAATGGTGTATTGAGAGTCGGACCAGCCTCCGGATCCCGAAGACTCAAGACGTTGTACAGCAGCGGCTCCACACTGGCGGCCACAGCTGGTCAGCGAGAGAAACGGACCAAAGTACGCATTGCCGGACGCACCACTCTTTCACCCACCACGCCACGCGCATCAACACTGGGATGCCCCGCGGCCGCTGCAGCGCGCCTCGCGGAAGATGTGCAGCTCGATCTCGCGGGGAAGGGCGGGTCGTCCATGAGAGTGAGAAGCAAGATGCGGGGATGAGTCAGCTGGCGACCGCGGGAATCAATCAACTGGAAGCGCCAGTGTTCCGCAAAATGCTGTATAACATCGCTGCAAGTGCCTACCAGCGAAAGACGCCGACGCCGATGCGGGACAACGCTGTTGGCAGCCAGATGCCAGCGCATAGTGGACGACGCAGAGGATCGGTCGAATAACGGCGACTGCACCATTCTTGGGGGAAAATTGGCAATATGTTGATTAGTAGTGCACGGATACAACAACGTCTATTACACTGACAATGGGTGAGCCCCAATTACTAGTATCAAGTGCACAACACACCTTGTCCCTCTGCACACGACAACCATGAGACCCGCCGAGACGGGTCAAGGAAGATAAAAAATTGTGCCACGACGACGGACAAATACGATGTACAAGGAGCCGCGTGCGCTGGCGCCCACCCGCCAGCCACATTTTATTTTTGAAGCGCCTGATCCCATGTCCATCCTGCCTCGAAAGCAGGCTGTTCCTTCCTCGACACCAGCGCGGGCCACCGAGGGCAGAATCGCAAGGTCGGCTCAGACCGTGTGGGGGAAAGTGGGCGGAAAAGAAGGGCGATGACCCGTGTTTGGCGGGGCGGCGCACGGACCATGCTGATGCACGTGCACAGGGAGCCATCAAATTCATGTCCGTGGACACGTTGGCCGTGAAGGTTTTTGGGCACCATTGTAGTCCTTTGAGCGCAGAATGCTGCACTGTGTCCTCCGATACCCGACTGTATTAAGCTGGAGAAGGAGCTTGAGAGCAAGACCTGTCTTTCAAGTTGAGCGCAGTGGCTTGGCATCCCAGTCGGCTGTCACACGCTCAGTGACGCTCTCACGCGGCAACCATTTCTCTCCTAACAACCGTGTTGCCCAACGAGCTCCTCCTCGACGTCTTCCGACGAGCGTCAAGGGATGACCTGCACAATGTCGCCCGTGCATCCTGGCGCTTCTGCTCTTTGGCTCGCACACTCCTACTCACCAACCTCTCGTTCCTGCCCTATACCTTTGACGACGGAGCAAACGCAGCAGTTGGAGGATAAACTGGGACTGTTTGGGTCGAATAGCGTGGCGCTGTACGTCAAGTGCATCTCTGTCAACCTGCTTAGCTGCTACTCTGGGTATTCGTACAAATTCAGCGATGTCAGGTTCAGCGACGAGGACGAGATTCATTCTATGCTCCATAGCGTACTCACGACACTCCCCGCTTGGCAATCTTCGCTACTTCAAGGCTGAACAGATAGAATTCACGACCGCGGCGCTTGGTGCGCTCGCCCAGCTACAATCACTCGAGACATTGTTCCTCATCAACTGTGCAATCCCCCCTTCTCTCGCCAGCTCTATGTTCCTCCAGAAAATATCCATCAGCAGCTTGATACTCGCCGACTGCAGCGAACCGAGCTCCTGGCTGAACCTTGTAGCCTCAGCGCGTTTTTGCGCTGCAGATACGATGGGAAGCAGCAGCGCCAAGTCTGGCATTACACTGCCAGGGCGGAATTGCCGTACTCCCGATATTCCTGAATACCACCCACCTCACAATTAGTATCAGAGGCTCGGAGACCAGTGAACTCGCCACCTTGCTCAACACCGCCTTTCCTAGGCTGGAGTCCCTGATACTCACGACCGACAACATTCCCTCCCCGGTAGCCCCTCCGGACCGCGATTTGCCATGCACATTCCGTACTTTGACACAGTTACAAGCCACGCTTGAGCTGGCATTGCTTATCCTTCCGCTGGCCAACATTGACAAGCTCACGCTACTGGGACCCGATACGCCAGCCCTGCTGCTCGCCCTTGCTGCCCTTCCTACTACGCGCACTTGGAGCAGTCACGGATCTGACGCTTGCAGTGCTAGAGGGGTGCGACACTAGCAGCAAGCTGGCATCCATAGCCAGCTACTTCCCTGCATTGGATCTTTTGAATGTCCACCTCGCATTTCACTATGGAGACGAATATGTACACTCGGTGGGTGCCTGCGATATCGACAAGTACAGTATGAGGGGTGACGAAATCAGTGGGACTGGGACTGGGCCACCCCAAACCAGTCCTACTGATCGAGTCAATCCCACTGATCAGCCCTTAAGCAAGGGTGATCAGTGGGATTGATGCACTCGACGCATGCTTCCTATGACCTCGGGAATCAGCTCAGGATCAATTCACGAGCTGCGCAGCAGGCCTCCGCGGCAGCGTGGGGTCCGGGTGGAAAACCCCGGCCGCGCCGTAACCACGTGATAAAAAGCTCCAGAGCACCTAGGAAAGTGAGAGAGGGGAGGAGGGAAGAGAAGAGTGCTCACAGCAGCGGGCCCTGCGGCGAGCAGAGGCCCCCGGCAGGGTGGGTCCAGGGCAAGGCCCTCGTCCTCTCTATCGTTAACGTTTTCTTGTTTGCTGAGGCTCTCCAAATCCCCGTTAGATCCAACGACAACTGGGAAGGGAGCCTAACCGGGAGCATTGCGCTGCTCGGAACGCTCGCATGTCCCACGACAACAACTCGGACTACGGAAGCACATTCGTAGAGCAGCTTTGAGCTGATTAATCTCACAAAACTATGGATTGCACGCGCTAATGTCCTCCCCCTTACACTTCATGTGACAGCCTTTCTTGATTACGGCGCAGACATTACTCCCGCTGGTATCTCGCTGGCGAGACGTCTCACTAAGCGTGCCAATGGAGACGCTGGCCCAGCTGTTTTTGGCTGGATCACAATTTCCAATGCTACAGCGTCTTTCGATTGCGGCGTCCGAGGGTGACTGGGAGTTGAAACGACTGCGAATCCTGGACGCACCGGAACTGCGATCCCTACAAATACTCTCAGTGGAGATCATTGCGCTGCATCCCTCCAAGGCGCCATTTGCACAGCTAACAACCTTGTACTTCAAACGCCTCGCTGGAGTCTCTGCTGCCTTGGACATCTTGAAGCACAGCAGCAGCCTTCAACAATTCTAGCCTGGTAATCACAATGGCTTTGTCTAGGAAAATTGTCTGACTTTGACCTCAGAGCGACGAACATCTAGTATGTAGTGCTTTTGAAGTTTTCTCGTTTAACCCTCCAAAGGCGCCGGCAATTATGACATGTAGATCACGCTTATCGAGATGGATTTCTGTATGGACGGCGCCATCCTTTCCCATTCGAAACTTCTGCTAAGCGTCAAACAGGACACCCCGACATACTCAAAATACGCGGAGATTATTGCCAGTGCGTCTACTTAACCTGCTGCTTGTACCCCACTGACCGCGCCCAGCATTGTGCGTCTGCGTCGAGCAGACCTCATCAGAGTCATCTGCCTCCATGGATGACTTCCCGCACGCATTTATCCAGGCGGTGGAAGCGTATTTCGCCCCAAATTCCGCTGCACGCACCTCTGTCAACAAAGAGACTGCCAAACTGTCCCCGTATGATTACCGGGAGATGCAGGACACGACGTCGGACTGTCCGTCCCGGCGCCCGGCCACCGCCAAGCTGATACATATAATATGTAGCACTTCCGGAGGACTTTTGAGCATCTTTGGGCTGTCCCAGCCTGCGGCTTGTGCTTCCCATCACCATCATGATCAGTCGTAAATCATGATCAGACACGGTCACGTGAGGCCAGGCTGGGTAATGCAGGGCAACAGGGGCTGCTGTGCTGGTGGTGGATTTGGGAGAAGGAAATAGGGTGTGTGG